CATGCTGTAAAGAAAAATTAGGACCAATGGGAAGAACCATGAGAAAGAAAAAAACAAAAAAAAAGACAGCAAATAGTATGTTTTGATCTGCATTCAGACTCCAGGGTTCTTTTTCTGGATGTGGATAATACTTTCCATCATGAATCTTTTGGAGGGATAAAATTATTAAGATAAGCTAGGAAGTTTTTAGCTTCTCTGCTTTTGGCAGAGAAAGACCTTTCCCAGGAGACCCGGGAAATTGAAGGCAATCTTTAAGCATTGATCATGAGCTAAGCCCAGAGGGGAAGTGCTAGGGGTAGAAAGAAAGGCAAAAACTAGTCATTGTTCTCAGGAATTCACAGTCTACTGGGAGAGAGAACATGAAATAATTATATGCAAACGATATATACAGGATAAATTTGGAATAGTTTTAGGGGACAGGGACTAAGATTTAAAAAAAAAGACTGGGAAAGGCATTTTGCCAAAGCTGTGACTTTAGCTGAGGCTTGAAGGAAGCTGGGGAAGCTTAGAGGTGGGGATGAGGAGGGAGAGAGAACCAGGCATGGAGAACAGCCAATGTAAATGTTTAGGACGTGAAGAGTCAGGTTCTAGGACCAGCAAGGAGGACAGGGTCGTGGGATCAAAGCATATGTGGGAGAGAGTAAGGTATGAGAAGATGGGATCAGGTTGTGAAGGGCTTTGAAATCCAAACAGGATTTGATATCTGATCTTGGAGGGAATAGGGAACCACTGGAGATTATTGAATTGGAGGATGACATGGTCAGACTAACCAAACTCTTCAGGAATATCAATTTGACTGCTTAGTGGAGGATGAATTTGACTGGGGTGGGACTTGAGGCCGGAAGATCAACCAGCAGGCTGTTGTAATAGTGCAGGAATGAGATGATGAGGGCCTGCACCAGGGTGGTGGAGTGTCGGTGGAGGGGGGGCATATGTAAGAGACAGAAATGACGAGACTTGACAGGTGATAGATATGGGGTATGAGAGAGAGGGAGGAGTCAAGGAAAACACCTAGTTGCCAGCCTGGGAGACTGGGAGGATGGTGGGTGGTAGGTGGCACCCTCAGTGGTAATAAGGAAAATGAGAGGAGGGGAGGCTTTGGAGGAAAAAAATGGGTTTAGTTTGGGACATGTTGAGTTTATGTCTCTGAAACATTTAGTTTGAGATATCCAATGGGCATATGGAGATGTGAGACAGGTCAGGAGAGAAACTGAGGCTAGATCAATAGATCTGAGAATTATCTACATAAGAGATGATAATTGAATCCATGACAGCTGATGAGATCACCAAGTGAAATAGTATAGAGAAAGAAGAGAGAGGGCCTGGGGGGACACCAACAGTCATAGGGCATGACGTAGATGTAGATCCAACAAAGGAGACTTGAGAAGGAGCAGTCCCATGGGTAGGAGTACCGGGAGAGAGCAGTGTCATGAAAATCTAGAGAGAATAAAGTATCAAGAAGAAGGTGATGGGTAGTGTTAAAGATAAGTCTCCTTTCACTGCTATTTCTTGCCTCTGAACTATTTTCTGAACTCTTCATCTCTCTCTTCTTTCTGTACAGGCAGTCTGTAGTGTACTCTAGTTACAATGTGTGTTGCTCCTTTATCTTCATCTACCTGGATTTTCTCACAAGTAAAACTTTTTTTTTAAAGGCAGTTGGGGTTAAGTGACTTGCCCAAGGTCACACAGCTAGAATCAAGGTTTTGGTCTGAGGGCTAGTGCTCTATCCACTGCGCCACCTAGCTGTCCCCTACAAGTACAACTTCTTAACACATCCTGTATTCAGCCTCCTCCCTCCACCTCCCACCTCTTTACTTATCCTATTGCTTTTAAATAAATAACCCTCTCAGAACCACTTTAGTCTCACACCACTAAGTCTCAGTGATGTTCCAAGGGATCAATTTTGTCTGCTTGCGCTAGATCTTTGAGTCACCTTGATTATTAAAAATACATGGTGCATTTGTGCATTGATAACTGAGGCTTTGACGTTTCTGACCTGAGTTCTTAAATTTTGACTTCTGTGAACTTAACAGCATCTCTGCTGATGTACTTTCTTCCCTGTAACTATTCTCTGTGGTGTCAGCTTGCTGGATATATATGGGTGTTTTCCTCCCTCTCTGTTTTTCATTTTAAGGCCCTTTTGATCACAATTGCAAAATTCCAGTCAAATACATTCATCCCAGCCCTTAATTGCTACCCTTGTCCTTGGCTAAGAGTCTGTCGTTCCCGTATTTTCCAGACGTCTAAATCCCATTCTCATCCACTGTCTTCTTGACCAGCTGTTCATTTCCCAAATCATCTGTAGCTCTGGTGTTTGATCAGCAGTGCCAATGAAAACACCACCTGTGCCCCTCAGGTCTGCAAATCCTTGCCCAGAACTTGATAATCTCTAGCCATGCTTTCTAGATTCCTTCTGATGGTATTATTTGTGTGCATATGAATCATCAGGATTGGGTAGCAGTCATCAAGATTGACTAGTCTTGGGAGATCTCAGCCAGGCCTTGTGTTCATGATCCAGGAGAACAGCAGACTAGACTCTCCTGATGCCTCAAAGGAAGGCGTCACCAGCCACTACTGCTTACCTCTTTTGCCATCTGACCCCTCCAGGCTTATCTCTTACCTGCTGTCAAGTTGGAAATGTCAACTTTCTGACTTTATTCTCCCAAATTAGGGTCTTGTCAGTGCTCTTGAGATAATGGCAGCAAGTCAGACAGCTGCAATTTTAAGCCTACAGATGCTTCAGAAGCTCTTCAATGGCATGCTTAATTTACAGCAAAACTGCAAAAAAAAAATTATGAAGAATTGTCATGGGAAACATATTAATTGGCCATGAAACAGAGATTCAGTAAAACTCTGAGAATTTAGCTTCCTCTCTTTTAAAATTTGGTAAATAGTTTAGTATGCCCCCCTCTCTCCCAGGCTTTTCTGAATATTTCAGTCCAAGAATTCAGGTCAGAAAGTGTTTATTGAGTTTTACTTGCTGTGTGCAAGGCATGCTGCTCCATTCTTATAATATAAAGGCAAGACAAAAACCAGTCCGTGTCCAGAAGAAATGTACATGGGGGCAGGGGGCATTGCATAAGCTTGGAAAGGGGGAATCCAGCATGCATGTAGATAAGCAAATATATGATCATTTGAGGAGAAGAGCAGTGACACCCTGGGGGAACAGAAGCACAGAGGCTTGTCCTGTGGGGTCCACCAGTCCCCCTCCCCTCTCCATGGGGGTACACAATGTGTCCGCAGCAAAGGCCGGTCTGAGACACAATGCAATGGGACAAGCTGGAATAACATGGATGTTAATGACATTATTCATAAGGAAATGCATTCTTTTGGTCATCCTCAGAAGGCTGGTCACTCCCCTGGAGGGCAGCTGTTACCAGTTGCTTAGAGGGTTCCCCCTTCAATGCACTTATTTTTTCTGCTTGTTACTGTGCTGATACAAGTGTTTGTGTGTGCAGGTGTGTACATGCACTAGGGCCTTTTTCTATAGTGAATTCACTGTTCACAGACTTATTAATGTTTGGTACCAAACCTCAAAGGTTGTTGGTAAGCATTTGCAAGCAGGGCCAGGACTTTCCATCACAACAGGGACACCAAATCAAAGCTTTATTCTCTTCTGTTCTGTGCTTCTTTCCAGGCCTGTGTCCAAGATTAATTTATGTCTTCTCACCACATGTAACCCATCTCGATAAATGGCCTGCTTCCCCTTGTCTTGTTTCTGGAAGGCATAGTGCAGGGTTAAAGAAGCAGATGGTGGTTTGCTTGTAAGGAGTTAAACAATTTCCTCCAGAACTTGGCTACACGTCTAGTATAGAGGAAAGAACAGTGACAGGAGCTGGGAGATTCAAATCCTAGTCCCAACTCTGTTTCAAACCAACTATGACTTTGGTAAAGTCACTCCACCTAACTCTTCCTCAGTTTCCTCTTATGTAAAATGAGGAAATTGGACTAATTTATTACTAAGGCCCTTTCATGTCTGAAAAAAATCTCTGCGTCCTGGAGCCAAATCTGGGTTCTAGTTTCAGCTCAGACCTTTTCCTTATGGTGTGACCATGGGCAAGTTTTCTAACCTCTCCACACTTCAGTTTTGTCATCTGTAAATGGGCATGATAGTGTCTCTATATGTTTCACACAGGATCAAATGTTATGTTAGAATCAAATGAGAGAATGGATATGAAGGCACTTGTTAGGCCATGTTTTGGTGCTTAGAGTTTTGTTCTTCTTCCACCACATAAAGCAATTTCTTATTCAAAGAAAGATGCAAACTAGATTTTTCTGAGTACCCTGAAACACAAATTACCTATTGGAGTTAAGGATTCATGCCCCCGACACCCTGCCATATAGCCTTTCTATATTTGTCTTTCCAGCTATTACACTTTGGTTTGAACCAGTTGGAACTGAAACTTTAATCAATTTCCTACACTCTGGTGTAAAACTTTTTTTTTGTTTTTTAATAACAGTGATAAATTAGAGAGACAGTGGACTCCCCAGGTAAAGGTTTGAGTCCAGCTCCGTGATTGGCCACTCATAGGAGGAGCTGCATCTATGCATCACACAGAAATATCCTGATTATCCTGATTTATTTGGTGCATGTCTGCCAGTGGTGTGAGCTGGGTTCTGTCCAAATCAAGTCTCTGTCCTCAAAGGACTTAGTACATAAGAGTCCCACACCGCTTAACGCTGCCTTTTTGGTGGCACTGACAGCTCTGTAGGGCCACTTCAGAAATCTAGCTATCATCCTCCTTTTGTTAGCTCTTTTGACTGTTGCTAGTTCTTGGTTACTAGGAGGCAGTATTTTTGGTGGATACTGTAGCCAATATACTTTATGTACTTTTTGTGTTTTGATATAGGAAAAAGTACAACTTGATTCTGTTTTCTCATGGGGCGCTGGGGATAGAGGTGGTGAGTAGAGGGACCAAAGTGGATTTTGGACATATCTGGGTACATATGTTTGTGATTCTTTTTAAGGGGATTAAGGGCTGGATTGTAATGTCTTCCAGGCCAGAGAAGAAGACAGGAACTATGACGGGAAAGTGGACGTGTTACATTTCAAATTAGAGCTTCCACTGAAGCCTACTGAGCATGTCCTTGGGGTCCAGCTTATTCTGACCTTTTCTTACCAGCTGACTGTAAGTGACTTTCTTATGAAGCCTTTGCCTTGGGAAGGGAAGGGAAAGTCTTTAGGGAATCCCATTCCTGCTGCATTTCCTACTTCAGCCCCACCCTCTATAGAGCAAGGAAAAAGAATGTCTATGGTTGGGGGGACCAGGGCCTCCCTCCTTGGGACCTTGGCTGTTCTGAGCCTCTTTTCTGGCCTAGTTTGGGCTTTAATGAACTTGTCCCATTTGGTTCTGTAGACCAGAGCTTCTTAAACCATGGGTCTAGACCCCATATGGGCAACAGTGAAAGGTTTCTGAATACACAATGGCCAAGAATTAATTCAGAATCAAATGCATAATGAATCCAAGGTGTTTCTAGCAGTGCTTGCCCAGTTGCATTGCACAACTTCACTGCAGCCTGCTTCTGAACACACAGCACGCACACTCAGCGGCTAACAAACCCTGCCAAAAACGGGGTCGTCTGAGCTGGGAGCATTCATTGGCCAGGTGCTTCTGTAGGAAGAGGAACAGAGCAGCCGTGGTCACTGGCTTCTAGAACTGGAGCCCTTGAAGATTTGGCCCAACTTAGTTGTCTCTCATCAATCCTTCTTTCAGAGGATGTCAAGATTTGTGATGCAGAGCATGGCTTTTCTCCAGTCATCCTTCCCTATCCCAGGTGCCCAAGTGTCTGTGAATGGAGACCTGAGGCTGCAACAGAGGCAGCCTTTGAAATATCGTGGGCTAGATAACAGATACAATGTAAGCACTTTCTCTTTCTTTCGGAGTTCTGCTGCCTTTATTAGTTACTGTTTATTGAGAAAATGAATGCTGCAGATACTTTCCTTTGGGTGATGGGGGGGGGCAGCCTGGAATACTCACCAGCAATTGCCGTGTATAGAATGACTAGACAAGGGGTGGGGGGTGCAGCGGGATACCTATGCACTGAAAAGGGTACTGTAAAAACTGGGTGCATTCAGAGTGATGCTGAAATGGTGAAGAGGAATTCTAGCTAACACAGGTCAGGAAGGACAAGTGCAGGGAGGCTGTATGGGCACCTTAAGCCGGGCAGCACTGACACTGGATGTGGAGAAACTCTAGGTCATTGTGGACCACAAGCAGAAATATGGGTGAACAGCATCTAATCATTGCATTTAAAAAGCTCAGTTGTCACAGGACTGATGTAACGTGACATGGCAGTAAAGTCAAGCGATCCTTTCCCCGCCCAGCATGGTATCGTCTGCCTGTGGAAGACAGTGTAGCACAGTGGCCTGGGCATCAACAGACCAGCCTTCTAATCTTGTGCCGCCCCTGGCTGCTTGTGTAACCTTAGGCAAGTGTTATCTTCCATCTAGCCTGCAGGGTTTTTTTAAATTTGCATTTACCTTTAGTAGAAAAGAATTTTCCAGTTTGAAAATAGGAAAAAGCAAATACTCTCAAGAGTATTCTAAGCAACAATCTCTCATGGCTGCCTCAACTTCCCTCAAAATGATGCCCTCCCCCTTCCCTACCCTTTGTGTACTCTGGGCCCTGGAGGGTGTTGGGCAGTGAGGTGTTACAGGTACTGGCTGGGGGGAAGTCAGGGTGTACACTCAGCCTGAAAACAACTCTGGGAGGTGAGATGGGGGAACCCTCCCATGGGAGAGAGACAGCCTCATAAACCATGCAAGGCCTGTTCCAGGCCTAGTCACCAGCACTGTGGGCTGTACATTCTGAATCTTTAAAATGAGGGGATCAGACAAGATACTTTTTGAGGTCCTTGCCAGCTCAAAAATTCTATGTCCAATTATTAGAAAGTTTTGATCTTTTCATTTTAAAGGTGATATGAAGAAATTGAGAAGTGTCCAGGGAAGAGCAAGAAAAATGAGCCAGGCTGTGGGAAATAAATATAATAAGAAAAGTTAAAGAATTGATTTTGTTTAGAGAGGCATTAGAAGGGGCAGCTAGATGGCGCAGTGGATACAGCACTGGCCCTGGAGTCAGGAGGACCTGAGTTCACATCCAGTCACAGACCAGACCCTTGACACTTACTAGCTGTGTGACCCTGGGCAAGTCACTTAACCTCAATTGCCTCGCCCCCTTCCCCCCCCAAAAAAAAGGAAATAAAGAAAAGAAAAGATAGAGAGGCATTACAGGAAGTAAGATGGATCAGTGGGTAGGTTACTGAGGTTAGAGTCAGAAAAACTTGACCTTCTCTCCTACCTTACTCAATTTCTAGCCTGGGCAAGGCACCCTCTCTGGGCCTTACTTTCTCTATCTGCAAAAAGACAGAATTGGACTTGTTGATTTCTAAGGCTCCTTGCAGCTAAAAAATCTGTGATCCCACGATTTAAAGTAGATCAGTAGAGCAGGTGATCAGTTTTTTTCTTGTCTCCGGAAAGAAAAGACTGAAAGAAAGGGGGTGTAAATGATAGTAAGAGTTCACTTAAAAAGCTTCTTGACAGTTAGCATAATTAAATTCCCTAATAGGCCATGATGGGCCATTGTAGAATCTCCATCATTGGAGGCCTTCCAAAATAGGGTGGCCAGACACATGCTGTGAGAGAGTGTTCAGTCATATGACTCCTGACCCCTTTCAGTTCAAGGGTTCCATGTTTCTTCCAGAATGAAGAAACCTCAGCCAGGGAGTTTTGCTTTCTCGGTAGATTTCATCCTTAGAATATGCAGTAAGAATGAAGAGAAAGAAGGTCCTCAGCCTACCACACATAGTGAGCTATATATTAGACATCATTGTTGCACATCGACCAGGAGCCACTCTCTGTCACTTAAAGCCTAGAGAAGGAGAAGGGAAAAGGGGAGGAGGTTGGGACAAAGACTGGCACTCATATTTATATTACCTGTTGTATCACAGGTATCAGTGATCAATGGGACAAGCATTTTTGCAAGTGACTATAGATTCAAGAAAATTGTTGCTGCATACCATGAAAGGAATGGTGAGTCATGAGTGTCATTCCAGGGTTTTGGAAAGGTCTGGCACCCTTCAGAGGGGTTTGTTCACAGGTCAAGAAGAAAATGACAGTGTGGATTCTGGTGGAAATGAGTATAGGGCAGCTGGAGGGGGCAGGCCCAGAGAACACAAATGAGGCACTTGTTTTCCTCCCCTATCTCTTCTTCCTAGCCTGATCTCTGAGTTGTCACCACAGCTCCAAGATCAATGGCTCACTTGAGTTCATGATCATAAGTCCCTACATCTATTTGATTACTAACTTTAAGTGTTTTTATTCATTTAACAAGCAATTCTCTGCCACCTGCTACGTTAGAGGCACTGTGTTAGATATGGAGGATGATACAAAGTGAATAGGAGGTGTTTCCTGCTCTAAAGGAGTTTAGTCAGTCAGTTAATCAGCATTTATTAAGTACTTACACTGTGCTAAGCACTTGGGGTCCAAAGAAAGGCAAAAAAACCCCCAAAACAAAACCAGTTCCTGCCCTCTGGGAACTTACATTTTAGTAGAGGAAACAACATGTGTGTGTATATAGTTATATATACATGTATATATTGATACACATGTTTATGTATTTGTATATATTTATACATTTATACGTACACATATGTAGTATAAATGGAGAAAATGAAAGGTAATCTGAAAAGACAGAGCACTTAGCTGAGGGGCCTGGCTGACAGAAAAAGATGGGATTTGAGCTGAGCCTTAAAGGAATCCAGGGAAACAGGCATAGGTCAAGAGGAAGAGCACTCTAGGCATGAGGAAGGGCCTGTGCAAATGCTCGGTGTGGGGAGATAAAAGATAGGATATAAAAAGCAGCAGGTAGGTCAGTATTGCTGAACTGTCGAGTGGATAGAAAGGAGCAGAGTATGAACCAATGAGAAAACCAGGAAAGAGTCAGGTGGTGAAGGGGTCCAGACACATCTACAGCTGGAATACAAGACCAGAATGTTTTGAGTACATAAGAAAGTAATGTAAGGTCGCCTTCCATTGGCGCAGTGTGTATCTCGGATGTGTTTGCCTTTCTTGGTATTCCCGGTACTTTGCACACATAGTGGGGGCTTAACAAATGCTTCTTGACTTACTGACTGACTGATAAAACACTACAGGAGTTCAAAAGAGGGACACATCATTTTGGGAGTACCAGGGAAGACTTTAAGAAGGAACTGGTGAGCATTCTCTTGAAGGACGGATAAGATTTCCACAGAAAAAAGTTCAGGGGTTTTGGTTCTAAGCACAGGGAACAGCAGGAGAGGGAAAATCAGGAGATATAATTAGGGAGAGGTACATAATTCAATTTGGCAAGAATATATATATATGTAGAGTATATGGAGGGGGATCGTGTAAGCAAAGACTGGAAAGGTTGGATAGGCAGTGAGGGGCAATGGAAGGCTTTTGATCAGGGGTGTGTGATATGTGCTGGGCCGTGTATGAGGCAGATTAACATGGCAATCCTTTCACATAGTGGGCACTTAATCAAGTGTATTGAATAAAAGTGAGGGGAGAGATGGGAGGCTATTGAAGTAATCTAAGTAAGGTAATGAGGTCCTGAACTAGGGCGATGTCAACAGGGATGACCATGAAATATTGTATCAAGGTAGAATAAACAAGCTGTGAGGGTTGCTTGGATCAGAGGGCGAAGGGAGGGAGTAGCAGATGAAGACCAGGGAGAGATTAGGCAGGCTCAAGTGACTAGGAGAGACTGGGAGTGCCAGCAAGAGAGGGGGGAACTTGAGGAGAAGCAGCAAATGTGGAGGTGGGCAGTGGGAATCAAGACTTCAGTGGACACTGAGCATTCTGAATTCATCCTAGAAACTTTATATGAAATAAAGGAAGGAAATAGGATCTACTCTTTGTATTTCACAGATGGATAAAGGGAGCATAAGATACATACCCAGGGTCTTCTAGTATTAATAGCATTAATGGAATAATGTAAAACCTCTCCACTATGGCAGGCCTTCAAGATGTTGTCATTAGTTATAGAGGATGGCTCGTGGGACCATTCCTTTTTGTTTAGCTCAGCACATGGAGCCTTACTGAGGGGCTGATGTTTTTTCCAGTGGTGTTTCTGCTGTTACCATGGCTTCCAGACACAGCAAGCATTACACACAGACATGGAGTGAAGTCCTCTATGAGAACGGATTTGGGCTTTGGGGGATATTCCATTTTAAAGAATGTCTTCCTGGTATCATTGCAGTAACCACGTTCTTGGCTGATCCCAACCCTATTTGGCTGGTGGGAAGGGCTGCAGAAGCACCATTTATAGTTAATGCTGTCATTCGATATCCTGTCGAGGTCATTTCATATCCTTTGATGGTTACCTGATGAGATAACAGTGGTCAGCAGTGACCATGACTTTCTATTTTGATAATAAAGGAAAGGAAGAAATACCTAAGTTATATTAAGTGGGGGCAGATGCTCAAAATGTTGGAATCCTGTTGAGCTGCATGTTTTTATAGTCCCGGTAAAATAACTTGGTTTCTACCAACTTTTCCCTAAGGGGAGGAAAAAAAAACTTAATTTCCTCATTTTTTTCCCCCTTAGCAGTTAGTTTTTCAGGCCGGAATCATCCATATTTATATCTTGACCATCCCTTTCTTACCCTTTTTAATAAGGATATTTGAAACATTTTGGCTATTTCCTGTTGGAACAAAGCCTTAGCTCCCTGTTATTGATGCGTGACAATTGATGGTTCCTTAACAGTTGGTACCTATATGCCAGGTTTCTGGGAGGCAATCAAGTTTGCCTGGATCCAGTACATCAGTATTCTGCTTGTCTTCCTTTGGATATTTGAAAAAATCAAGATGTTTGTGTTTCAGAACCAAGTGGTGACCACAATTCCTGTGAGATCAATGACCCCAGTGGAAAATTATAAGGAGCACTTATCTTAAGAAGCAGCCTCTCTAAAAATGACTGGGTGCAGCCATGCTTACCTCACTGTCAGCTTTAGAAAACTGTCTGTGCATGGTCCCTTTTTGGAAGGAGCTCTGCCACCATTTTGTAGTAGTCACAGATATGAGGAAGAACATAGCACTTTGATATCTTGGAAAGTGTTCCATCTTTGATGACTCAAAGATGTTTTCTCTTTGTATCTGGAGGCTACACATTATGCATTTTTCCCTGTCCCAAACCCTTTATCACCATAAAGCTGTCCTGTGATAGGCATGCAAATCATCGACACTCATTTTCTTGTATACATATGCCATTTAGAACTTTAACTTTTAACTAGAAGTAGATGTCTAGATGTATGTAAGAGATTTGGGGACAGGAATGGCACCTACCTGCCCTTGGTTCAGCAAGCAGCTAAGTGCCTCTTATCGGCTAGTCTGACCACACTTTTATTCATGTCCTCTCTGTTCACTGTTCTGTCTCTCTTTGAAACTCGGGATTGAAGACAGATACTTTGGCCCATTCTATTCCGAATCCATAAGATGTTGCTGTGGGGACTGGTATTTTGACGACTGCTTCTTTTCTTTCCAGCTGATAATACAGCTTGCATACTGACTGACCACCACCTGTCTTCTCTGGCCTCCTATGAGAGGGTCTGATCTCAATTGAATTTAATGAAACATTTTTTTTAAGGCTTGCTCAGCACAAGGCACTGGGTACAAAGACAAAATACAACACAGCCCTTGCTTTCAAGGAACTTGATCTAACTGGAGAAGGACAAATACACAAATAACTGTGATTCAAGGGAGAATATGATAAGTGCATAGGAGAAGTCCAGGCAATGTGCTATGAGAAATTGGAGGAGGCAGAGAGAAGGGAAGCTTACCTGAAGAAGATAGATTCTGAGTTGGGCCTAGAAGGAAGAGACTCTTGGAGGTGTGGGATTTCAGGGGGATCTTGAGAGCACAGACAGGAACACAGAATAGGGCAGAACAAGAAAACAGAACAACATAGTAGAGTGGAAGGAGGGCTGGGTGGGAGTCAAAGACCTGGGTTCAAATCTAGACTCAACTAATCACTTAATCTCTCTGTGCCTCAGTTTCCTCACTGGTAAATGTGTCTCTGAGGAGAAGGCTGGGTATTTTTTAGTTGTGAGTTTATAATCCTGTGAACCTCAGTCAAGGAGAAGCTGTTACCAGATGCAGGCGCTCTCTGGAATGTAGATCCCGCTTCTCGATGATACAGTAAAAGACAGAAGAGTCATTGTTGTCGGCTCTGGTCGCCCATTGCCCAATGACAAGAGAAAAAACGAACTTTCCCTTCAACATGTTGGCATGGAAACAGACGAGGAGGGAGACTGGGTTGTTGGGCTGGCTGCTGCCCAGTCATCCTGAGGAGAACAGGCAGACGCTTCGAAGGGTAAAGAAGTTTGCCTTGTGGCATTGACGAGATGGTTGGAGCTGGAAAGACATCCTCCACTTGTAATTGATGCCCCCACTGTTCCTGAGGCCCCTGCTTCGAAGTGCCGCCTGTTCAATGCTTGGTACTTTATGGGAAAGGCTAAGGGCTCTCATTTCAGAAGCCGTCTTTTCAGGATTCTGACCTGGCCAACATGGCAGTCTGGGGAAACAAAGCTGTTTCCATTCATTCAAGCACAGAAATGCCTGACCAACTTTATTAATGTTGGAAATTTGTTCTTTTCTTCTTTCTTTCAACATCTAGGAATGTAAAAATGCCCGAATAGATTTTCTTGACATGCAATCTAAAAATAACTTCTGGGATTCAAACCAAATAAGAAAAAAAGGCAATAAGACATTGGGAGAGGAGGGGGAGAGAGGAGTGACGTATTATGAACCTTACTTAAAATTTTGTTAAATACATTTAATGCAAAATTTGTATATATAAAGAACTATGTAAAATTCCTTAATTTTGTATCTTTATGAATAAAATGTTCAAAATATACATGTCAAGACTTGTGGAATATTTTTTTTCTGCGGTCTTAAGTTCTGTGTAAGCTTCCTTTGTTAAGGCATTCATTTGTCAGAGCCCATGAAGTTCATGCATTGGCTCTGTAACAGAGTCAGTCAGGTACAACCCCAAACAAACATGGGAGTTTTCAGCTAAATCCCACTTGATGGCCTGTTCTAGCCACAGCCTGGAAAATTACAACTTTGTTTTGGAAGCGTTCATTATTTAAAGACAGGAAGAACTCTGGTTCTGAAACATGGTAGACTTACAGAGTTGAGAGGGGGGGAAATTAAATTGACTTCAAAAACTGGGTCTCCACAGATTTAAGGCGGCTGCTTGATAATTTAGGAGAAACTAAACCAACCAACCTGATTTTGTTTAAATTACCTCCACAATTCAGAGGCATAGGTTCTGATCAAATTTACCTAAGCAGTTGCCTTCTTCTTAAGGCATCTATTAAGTACTTTCTGGTTACAAGTACTTTACATACTTTATTTCATTTGTCCTTCACAACATCCTTTGTGAGGTAGGTAATATAAACATGAACCCCTCTATTTTCAGGCTAGGGGAAGTGTCTTGCCCTAAGTCATAAGCTAGTCAGTAGTACAGTGGGTGGGATCCCAGTGTCTGCATCTCTGGCTCTTCCACTAATTATAGCATCCTGCCTTCAACTTTGGCTGTGGCATAGTCCTAAAAGTAGTGGGAGAGGAAATGATTTCTTCTTACAAGAAACTCAAATTCTGCATCCTAGTAAGGGAGGGGGGGCCTGCCCTTTTATTCACGGGGAAAGGAATTTCTCTGATTCCACCAAATACAAGGATGCATTTGGCACCTAGTTGCATTAAGCATTGTGCTAAGAAATGTGGGGTGGTGCGGGTAAGACACAGTTCTTGGCACACTTGGAGCATGTGCCAGAGTGAGAGGTCAGTGACTGAGCTGACCCCTTCAGCAGGAGCACCCAGGTGCTAGGTAGCTCCCTTCATCCTTCCTTGCCTCGGCTAGCCTTGTTCTACCGGAAGATGCCTTTTGGGGACCAATCATGTTTGGTTTCCTGTTTTGTTTGCCCATTTTTTTCCCTCAAGAAATGAGGGAAGAAGCCTAGACAGGGTGAAGGGGGAGGGGATAGGAATCGCAAACAAGATTTTTCTTTTTTTTTTTTTTTGCTTGAACCGTTTGTTCTGTTTTGAAGTGTGGATTTGGATTTGGAAGGTAGCTAGTATTCCGGGTCACCTTGGCTCAGGGCTTTGCAATGACTGCTTTGGGTTCCTATTTCATTCACAAGGGCCTTTTGTGCTCTCCAGCTGACTTCATAACCTTTCCACAGCTCTCCCTTCCCTTGCTTAGTCCAAGGTGTGTGTGGGGGTGATCGTGCTCCCCCATACCCACCTGGTTCTCCCAGAGAATGGTAAAAGAGAACAATCCCTTTCACAAAATAGGCACTCAGTATACTTGCTGAATGAATGGAGAAGTGTCTGGAACAGGGAGACGGCCTATTGAGCACTATATTTGGACTGAAAGATCTGGATTCAAATACTACCAGTGCCATCGGAGGCAGGTGACTTAAATCTTTCTGTGCCTCAATTTCCTTATTTGTAAAATGAGATGATTGTATTAGATTGTCTCTAAAGGCCCTTAAAGCTCTAAAATCCAGTGCTCCCGTCCCCTGGGGGCACAGAATGTCAAAGGAGGAACGGGATTTCAGAACAACATCCAGGCTAACTCCCCCATTTTACTGACCGAGGGTAACTGACCTACGGTGTTACAGCAGGTGAATAGCAGAATTAGTCTAGAAAACATCTCTCGTTTTCAGTGAGGCAGCTTTACTGTAGCACAGTGAATGGGAGGAAAGAAATCCCAGGTGACTCTCATCCAGCTCTCCATATTAGAATATGGAGAGGCAGTTTCATAGTGCCAAAAGCCTTGGATTTTGACCCAGAAGGTTGGGCTCTGCTATTTGCTGCAGTAGCGAAATCACTTTTTCCTCTCTCGGCCTCAGTTTCTTCAAATACACAAATCTGGACTAGGTGACCGCTAAAGTCCGGCACTGCCGTTCTTGGATCCTAAGAAGAAGGAGGTGGGCAGACTACATTGTAGGGCAGAACAGCACGGCGGCGCCCTTCTCCCCTCCCTGCCCGGGATTGAGTACCACCCCCACTTCGCAGCGGGGAGCGGGGAGGGGTTCGGGCTTCCCTTCCCTCCTGCCCCCTCCTCTCCCGGCCGGTCCTGTGGCCACGTCTGAAAACCACTCATTGTGCTAGCTCTGCAGCAGAGAAGGCGCCACGGCCCCCGGACAGGGGAGGGCAGGACAGAGCAGAGCGGTGCAGCCCGGGGCTCGGGGCACCGCGAGCTGAAAGCAGGTATGGTGGGACCAGGCGGGCAGCGGAGGGGCTTCAGTCCTGGGGCTAGGGAGCTAGGGGCGGAGGGGTCTCCCGGTACCGAGCGCCCATCATCACCCAGCAAGAGCGGCAGCCTCCTTCCTCCAGGCGGCAGGGGCGGGGTTCTTTCGGCTCTCCGGGATCCCGCTGCGTCCCAGAATGCTGTCACCCCTCCTCCAGATTCAGTTCACCACGTATTAAGTGCCAGTCTCCAGCACCCTCACGTACCTGTTCCCCGGGTGCCTCTTCCTTCTCTCGATAGTCCCAGGACAGCCTCTCCTCTTCCTCTTCGCTTTACTCCCCTTATAGTGCCAAGATCGCTTCTCTTCTTGTGCTTCTGGGATCTTCTGATGTCTCTTTCTGCTCCCCTCTAAGTACGAGGAGCTGTCTCCTCCCTGGGCACCCAGGGTCATTTATTTCACTTCTCTCCTTGCTCCTCTTCATTCTCTAGACCTCCTCATTCCCTGTTCCACTAAGATCCTCTCCCTTCTCCCTGTTCCCCCGTGTCTCCAGAATCCCCTCTATCCCTAAGCTCTGGAGTTCTCACCTCTCGCTATATCTGGAGAATGCCCCAGTCTTTCCTCCTAATCCCTCGTTCCTGGAGTCCTTTTATCCTGCCGGGGCCTCAGGATGACAGGGCAGTACCTTTGGACATCCGTGACTGAGGGGGAAGGGGCAGACCCTGGGATGAGGTGAAGTGGGTAGCCATTCTGTAGCTATTTCAGTTGGGGAAAGAGCCGCCAACTCCCGTGCATATATAAAGAAGGAGAATTCTAGTATTTAATGCTAGGACCCAGCCCTGCCTTCTAGTTGTTAGAATTATAGAACCATAAGATGTTAGAACTGGCTTCCAAATCAATAGTAGAGTGCCTATTCAGAATTAGACACTGGAAATACAAAGACAAATTACAAGAGGTATTTGCCCATGAAGACTTTACTTTC